CCCTATCGATTTGAATAATAATGGTAAGACTGGCTTAGTCAGTAGTAATAGTACCGCTAATAGCGTCAGTGTTTTGTTGGAACAGACGCTGGAAGACGCCGGTTTTTAGGACGTTTGGACAATACTATAGCTGCTGCACGAACGATGGTTCAGCTACCATTCTACTGCTCCCGTTATTTACCCTTATTTAATTTTGTTGCCCTCTTCTTCTTGCTTTTTTGCTCGTTGTGTAGTCAGTTTTGGATAAAATACAAAAAAATCCAAAAGTCTACCAGATCTGATAGTATAAATGTCTGAAAGTCTAAGGAAACCAAAGGTCTAAAAATCTAAAAGTCTAAAAGTGCGAGGAATCCAAAGGTATAAAAGTCGGAATGTTTAAGGAGTGCAAGAGTCTACGAAATCTAAACGTGTAAAAGCCCCAGGAATCTAAAAGTCTAAGAAATGCAGAAGTCTAGAAGTCTAAGAGATCAGTAATTCTGAAAGTCTAGGAAGTACAATGGTCTAAGAGTGTAAAAGTTTAAGAAATCTAAACGTATGAAAGTCTAAAAGTCTGAGGTATCAGAGATTTGAAAAGTAATCGCGACTCACTCTAAAGCGCGATGCGACGATACTCGCTGTGGTCCGACACAAGAGATCACTGCGATCACGGCGCGATTTTAGGAGTAATCGCGAGAAAAGTGTGGTTGGTTTTGAAGATCGCGTCTGCGTAGCCATCACGAAAATCGCGTCTTATTAGCGAGTCGTATAGATAACGCGTTCGCGTTACTATCAATAGATACTTCTCGATCAGTGTCATCTGGTACTCTTGTCTTAAGTGGTGATCGAGTTTCTGGAATTCCTAGGAACTGATTCTGCAATGTTCAACATTGCGGAATAGGATGACTGCTCAAGCATAATGACCACAGTCGACACGTTTCATGAGGAACCATATCAATAATAAAATACTGTCTAAAAGTTTCATGTTTTTGGATTTTCTTCGAGAAAATGTTTCGTTTTGAAAACTATGGTCACTGTTCAGAAGGTCATGGCTGCACCACATCATTACTCACTCACTCACGTTCACTTTCTTACACATTGTTATAAGCTTTATTTATTCAAGAAAAGAATGAAAACAAGTTTAAATAAATGAAGAGAGCAAAAAGAATTAATTCTTACAGATTAATTTCTTACTCTTTCTGTGAAGAAGGAATTTTTGTTTGAATCACTTTATTCATCAACTTTTTTTCTCTTTTTTTCTTTTTTGTTTTCTCGACCTGTGAAAAATGCCGCTTAAGTGATTTATTTTTGCTTTTTAATTTTCTTTAAGAAATAAAATAAACATCATATCAATTATGTTATTCAGTGCGAAGAAGAAAAGAAAAATATTGTGCTGTTTTGAAAGTGCACAAAACAAATAGTTAAAGAGAAGAAGTGATGTACAAACGTAAATTTTAACTTGTGTTAATCGAACGTAACAGATCATCACTATTGGGGGAAAGTAATGTGATGGTGAACAAACAAGAAGAATTATAATTTAGTTAAAGAAGAACTACATTGCACGATAAGCTGCAAAGCCATCGGTTATTCTTCTCTTTCATGCTTGAAGGAATCAGAGATGGGCGAGTCACCTTTTTTTAATGACTCGGACTCGAAGATTGTGTGACGTTGACTCGACTGTTTGACTCGAGTCATTCATTAAAAAAAATTTAATTTGCTCTTATAAAAAAATCACAACTCATCAGATTAAATTTTCACTTATTCGTGAGAATAGTTGATTTTGATGTTCTTGTTTTGTTGATAAATCTATAGTACTTGTGTCATTTC